GAAGTATAATTTCATTTCCATTTTGTTCAACTTTTTCTAATTCGCCCGTAAGTACTAATGATTGATCTACAAATATATTACAGTAGATTCGTAAGTTGTTTAGAGAAAAAATTCTCTCCACCATTTTTCGATTTGAGCTCCATAAAGATACTGAAATAAATAAATACAAAAGTATAATTAGAAAAAACTTATTAATCCGTTATACAATATTAATTGCTTCTCTGAGATTACGGGATAAATATAATAGGGGCATTCTTTCTCAACTTTACACCCATGCTGTCCATTTTCTATTTGATCTAAAAATTTTTGAAAAATCTTAAAATTTACAGAAAAATGTAAGCTTTACAATGGCGCGTGGCAAAATTATCAAATTCAATTGGATCTTAAAATTTCAGAAAACCAAAAAAAATAATAAAAACGGTAATTATTCAAGTGTAGCGATTATTTATTCGACGTTTTTCTCTTCCAATTTAACACTTTCGAGTACTCTGTTTATCTGTGCACTGTCACATGAGTCTAAACTAAAATGGCGGATCCAATATGGCCGCCAAAAATTTAAAAAATTTAAGAAATTAACTGATTTTTATAAAACTTGGTATCAAGGGGTTTTTCGGGTTACTGTATACGAGTCTAAAGTTATCTTCCGAAATACAAAATGGCGGATCCAATATGGCCACCAAAACATTTTGAAAATTTTTAGAAATTAACGAATTTTTATAATACTTGGTATCAGGGACTTTTTCGGGTTGCTAATAACGAATCTGAAGTCACATTTCGAAAATTTAAAATGGCGGATCTAATATGGCAACTAAGAATTTAAAAAATTTTTTAAAGTAAAGGAGTTTTATAAAATTTGAACAGAGAGTTTTACGGCCAGCTAAATACAAATCTTAAGTCGGATTTCGAAAACTGAAATGTCAGATCTAATATGAAAACCAAAAATATTGAAAATTTAGGAAATTGACAGATTTTTATAAAACTTGATACTAGAGATACCTCTGATTCTGATGTTGCCTGAGCTCTTACCCCCTACTTTTTGAAATCTTGATATGAAAAAGTCGAACTACTACCAGCATTGGAATATCTCTTAATCACCATTTCTTTGTTGATTGGGACGAAACAGCATGGGTGTAAAGTTGAGAAAGAATGCCCCATTAGTATACTGTCATATAATGACAAAGAGCACCAAAAGACAAAAAGATTTTTGAAAAAACGATTTGATGTAGCTCCACCAGTTCCAGAGATTCTGAGAAATCACTGGGCTTGTTCGTTTTAGCTACACTGGAGCTGCTCTGGGTCTGCTCTACACAGGATAATACAGGACAGATAAATAGTTTGTCCTGTATTATCTTGTTTAGAGCAGACCCAGAGCTGCCCCAGTGCAGCTAAAACGAACAAGCCCACTGTTTCATCCCAATCAACAAAGAAATGGTGATTAAGAGATATTCCAATGCTGGTAATAATTCGACTTTTTTATATCAAGATTTCAAAAAGTAGGAGGTAAGAGCTCAGACAACATCAGAATCAGAGGTATCTCTAGTATCAAGTTTTATAAAAATCTGTCAATTTCCTAAATTTTCAATATTTTTAGTCTTCATATTAGATATGACATTTTCAGTTTTTGAAATCCAACTTA